ATATATATATATATATATTGTGGGAGCTCATCAACCCCGGTTTTGTTTTGTTTATGACAAATATGTTAGCTTCTCTTCCAAAATGGTGTTGGGCTGGCAACTTTTTTTTGTTAAAATAATGTCAGAGGGCCACTTTTTGGTTGGTGGCCAATTTTTAGGCATTTGAAAAAGAGGAGAATTGTTTTTAAGTAGCCAATTTCTATGGATGAAATAAGTATATTTTCGGGTTGACAATATTATAATTATTTATTTTATTTAATGTGGTTGGCTTATCAACAATAGATTTGGATGTTTTAAAATGATGGCTGATTTGGGAGAAAAATTTGTGTACGTCAGATGTTTGCAGAGTTGCGTACATCAGAGGTTATTCAGAAGGGATTTGGGGGGTTGATCCAGGGGTTATATCCGCGTTATAGCTCCTATGACATCTCTGTAACTTACCTACAACCCCCCAATACCCTTTGAATAACCTCCGATGTACGCAGCTCTGCAAACATCTTATTTATTTTACTAGTTAGAAAATTTTTTTATTGAAGTTGGATGGTGTTTACATTGACTCATGAATGATGTGTTCGTGTTCCACTCATTTTGAATTTATATATTCATTTTTATCTTTTGTTCAACTCAAATTTAACTCAAATGATTTTAAAAAAATTTAACCTTTAAAATGTCTATAAAATATAATATAAATTTTCAAACAAATAATATAATAAATATTAGTTATTTAATTATTTAATTAACTCGAGCCAAATCCATAAGAAAACGATCGAGCGAAAGGTTGATTCATATTATGTTTGTTTGCTTAACGAAGGAATTGAACAAACTACTTTCTAAGGCAATTACGAGTTGCTCATAAACAATGATCTCTTTTATGTACCTAACTGAGAGTCGTTATGGATTATTCATATTACAAGTGATGAATCCACGTTGTTGTTGAAAGTTGTGAACAAAAATTATACCACTTTGGTCAATATAAAATAAGTATTATCTTGATAAATAGATGTACCAATAAAACTATTACATAAGGCAAGATGCATGCAATAGATATTTATTTATTTGATTGACATTTATAGACTTTAAACTATTCATAGGTGAGCAGCTATTCCCTAACCCATTCCACTCTACTCATTGGGTGAAGAAAATCTCATTATATCTCTCTTCAAAGAGAAGCATGCTCTTAATTTCTAGAAGGGACTCAAATTCATATCTAAGAAAATAATATTTTAGAAAGACATAATAATTTTTTTTTAACAAAAGCATTTTATATAATATTTGTATATATAAACAAATAAACAGATTCTTTTGTGTAGGATTGAGTGTCTGGAATTAGTGAAACATATCATCATTTATAGCTTATTTTTAAATTGCAAAGACTTAAGTGACTAGTGAACTGTACCATAATCATCATCGTGTTTTATCTTAATACATGTTTAAATTATAAAAATACTAAAAAAAGTCAATGGATATGTCATAAAAAATCTTGTTATTATTAAATCACTAATGAGCCATGTATGTATCTTATGGGCTTATAAGGTCAATAAGCTCTCCCTAAACAATACATCACCAAATCCTACTATACATGTGTTCCCTCTACCTCCTAAAAAAAAGATACTACACCTTATATTAAGCATCTCCCTCACCAAGGCAGCCCTACCCCCAACAAGACTTGAACATTTATCATAACTTATTTCCTCTCATAGCTTGTATCTATAGTTGGGTTTTTCCATTCCACAAACATATTAAATTCTTCTATATTCTTTGAATTTAGAATATGGGAAGTCCAACAAGGTGGGGGGAGAGTCTAGATTTTAAAAAGTCTTTAAGAAATTTAAGAAGTAACCAAATGTACTAAAAGAAGTTACTTATTTGAGACTAAATGGCAGTTGTCATAAATTCTTTGTGTCCATGGTGCAAGGTTTATATTAAATGAGGTTCTTTTAACATTCAATTTTATTGTGTCCTCATTCAATCTAAGTTTTTTTTTGTGATTTAGTTGTATTCTCTAAATCCAAAACATTCTTTCTAACTACAATTTTATGAACTAATGTTGCCCTTGAGAGAAGTCTTCAAGTTTCACTTATAAGAGCATTACTTATGAATTGAAAGGCACATGTTACCAATTTCATCGTGTTCTCATTCAATCAAAACACAACACAATAGAGAAAAAAAATTAATTAACACATAAATCATATACATAAATAAAAGAATAATAATTGAATTAAACCAAATGAAATATACAACTTTATAATAAAAATAATGTTTGCTAACAATAAATTGTTTAACACATAAATAAACAAAAAATAACCAATACTCATTAACAACGACTCTATATATGCTTAAAAATACAAGAATTTGATACTGTTGCTAGAAGAATTAAGTCCCCGGCAACGGCACCAAAAACTTGACAACGGTTATAGATTTGATGAAAATGTGTATAAAATATTCAATAATTACAAAGTCACATTAATCAACGCAAGTATACGTATTGCTCAAGTAATAAAGGGCTCTAATAGAGTTCTGGGATATCGATCTCACAGGGACTCACAGGGAGTAATACTAGAGGCTACAAACTAGGATTTAGAAAATCAATACTTAATCACAACAATACAGGTTAAATTGTTTATTTGTCACTAATAGTCAACTGAAATAAATATGTAATTTTTAAAAACTCTTCATTAACTAATTCTACTAATAAAGTTTCTAATGTGAAGTTCAATATATAAGAAAGCATCATTCTTCTTGTCAAGAAATTAAGGTGAATGGATAAAATGAATTAGTTCAAATTGTATTGTGTCAAATAGGAGCATACCTATTCTTTACCAATTGGTCCAGACATAAAGAACATTGACTAATCATATGCTTGGTTACTGAATCTGCGGCTAGGCTGGGA